AGTAAATCCATCCGGTCCAGGGGTCTTATTTAATTGAAGTCTATCGATCTCTCTTTCGACCTCATTTATCGTAAACTCATGATTGAGTTGGGCTAACTCTTGATTGTTAATTTTTGGAATATCAGTATTATCCAAATATTCTTTAATGTCTTGACTATCTGATGATATGTCCAAATCATATAATTTACTATAAAATCCATTAAATAGTTGCCCAATTTTTTCTGGTGAGGAGTATGTAATTTGATCCTTAACCAGTTTATTGATCCTATTATTTGAATTTTGCTTTTTTAATCTTTTGGTTAGATTTTTATTTGCTTTATTACTTTGATGGTAAGTATTTAGTCTCAATTTATTAATTGTTTTTCTAATCTTTTCTTCTGTCTTTAAATTGATTTGTTTTTGTAATTCTAGAAGTAATGATCTTAATTGAGTGGTTGGAGACTCTTTATTCATTTTGTTTTAAATGGTTTTTATTGTTTTTGCAGTAAAAATGCATGCATAGTGTGAGAAGCGAAAATCAATATAGTGTCGCCTGCGCAGAGGCTCAGTGTTGTATAAAATCATAGTTGCATATGTGCCTGCGCAGAGGCTGAATACAGTTGTACCACACAATATCAGTCATCCATATGTTCCATGCTTGTAAGATCTAAACCGCTGACCTGCGATGCACATTGTCTGGTGATGTTATTGTTAACCTCATGCAGTGTAAAATACAGTACAGGTATCGGGCAGGTTAGAGTAGGAAGCACTTGATCGCCTTCGCTGAAGCTTGCGCAGTCCCTCATGAGAGATGGGCGCATTATGTGAAGCGTGCAGATATGTGTGTTGCTGACTGACAGGCAAAATGTGAAAAAAACAAAAAAAAAAACAAAAAAAAAACCTAAAGCGCGGTTCCGTGCGTCTGGATAATTGCGCCTATGCAGCTATTGCTTCATTTGCTTAAGTTGTGCCTAGTGAGCATGGTGTGTTCACAGTGTGCATCGTGTGCGCGGTATCAAATGGTCAGAGCAGTACATTAAGTCAAAAAAATCAGCAGACAGTGGCTATGCGTCAATAATATCTGGCAACAATATATAAAGCTTTAGATGTGTATTTTAGCAAGCATGTAGTGGCCTGTATAGGGCGCCGTGCGCGGGGGAATGTGTTTAACTATTTGAAGTAGCCCGCGGATGGCGTATCCCATAGGAGCCACGGTACGTGTCATATGAGCAACAGCAATGCAGGTGATAAAACCTAACTATTTTATGCCCATGTAGCTCAGGTATTTAATCAAAGGGACAAGCTTTATACAGTTTATAGCGTAATAAACATTATGCAACATCAGAGAACAAACGCCTCAGGAGGCAATGCAAAGCAAGAAACCATATACTTATTCACATTAAATTTCTCAAAAGCTGTCCGATGAGGGCCTCCCTTGGTTAGGCCTCGGTGCATCTCCCAAGTTGCCAAGTCTCCGTCTGTCCCTCCCCCGGGCTGGTCCCAGCCCAGCACCTGAGTCCTCCGCAGCGCTGTGGGCACTCGGGGGTTGAAGCGTACCACTCGACCCCCCCACCAAGAGTCCGTGGGCCACCCACCCCCTGCACCTCCCCATCGCTACCTCAGACCCAGTAAAGCTCGTGTCCGGGTGTCTCTTCTGGTGCCGGCCTCATAGTTTGGGCTGGTGCGCGCCGCTCCCGGCTACCGGTCTGCCGGAAGGACCGCGCTATCCCGCCCCACCGGGCTCGCGGCATCAGGGACATAACTCTCTGGGGACCCCACAGACCCAGAGGCCAGGGCACTCACTTTTCCTGCTGGCCGGTATTCACCGCGGGGGGTCCATCGGGCACCTCGCAACACCAGGTTCTGCTCGGGCTTTCCAGGTCGGCTCCCCATGGTGAGTAATCTTCACAGGGCCCCTTGCCCTGACCTTTCAAAAACGTCTCCGTCCCTGTCAGGGTGCCCTCTCATATGTAGGTTTCCTCTCCCCAGTTTCAGTGCTCTTTTCAGCTGGCTGGCCGGCTGGCCAGTGCCCGGCCATTGCCAGTGTAGGCGGTCGGCACAGAGTCCGTGCGGGGGCTCCCACTGCGGCCCGTGTCGCCGTCATGTGGCCGGGATAACCCCCGCCGGCCAAGGGGGGGGGCAGGGCCGGGCCGGGGGCCCCCCGCACCTGAAGTGCTTGTCCTGTGTTATGCATAATTTAAATTAATCTGTTACACGCAAGTTACTCCAATTTATACTCTCACCTCTTTTACAAATGGCTCCAGCCTGAGCTCGCTAAAGACCCCCCCCCCCCAGGCCCCCTTAGTTAAGGGGTCGGAAATAATTAGCCGCACAGTATGTATCACTTAACCCCACACACCCTGCAACGGCAAGCTAGACAATAGGGAGAGGCATTCACTACCGACCCATCCTGGAGGTCTCCTGATCAGACCTGGCTGGGTCGAGACAACCCGCATGCCAACACACACAGCGCAACCCAAACTTTAGTTTAATGAAGCAGTTTTGATGTATAGATCATGTCCCTGAAGTCTCACTGCTCAGGTCTCTACCATTCAGGAGTTAAATGACTTTGTTTATACAGCCTAGCCACACCTCCCTGCATGTGACTTACACAGCCTTTCTAAACATTTCCTGTAAAGAGTCATCTTTACCACAAATGTATTTGATATTAAAGGGACACTATAGACACCCAGACCACTTCAGCTCATTGAAGTGGTCTGGTGGGTGCAGCGTTCCAGGTCCCTTAACCCTGCAGTGGTAATTATTGCAGGTTAATCAACGGCAATAATGACATTGCAGGGTTAACTCCACCTCTATAAATTGCAGTCTACCGTGTATATCAATGTCTCCTTACATGTTTTATGGGGGTTTTGAAGAGATCCAGGGTCAAAGAGCTTGCTCATTTCAGCTTTTACAGATTGAAATTTGCCAGATTAGTTTGCTGGGCCTAAATTGCCTTTGAAACTGTACGTCAGCCCAGGAATGAGAATTACTCCCATGATGGCATACCATTTGTATAATTAGACAACTCCATTCAAAATGGGGTATGTCCAGTATTTTTATTTTTTTTGTAGCCACAAACCTTTGCCAAAAGTTTATATTCTTGCATTTTTCCCCACCCAAAAAAAACACTGAACTTAAACTAATGATATCGTCCCTATACATTTTACAGCTTCAAAACACTCATTTGTACTTAGCAATGTCTCTAGTACATCACCCACGTACATATTTTATGAAATTTTGAAGTTACAGTTTAAAATATAGGTCTTACAAATTAAGTTATATGGGGGCTGTCAGACAGCCCCCAAAATATAAAATAAATTTAGAATTTTATATACGCGTATACATTATTTTTTTTTTATTAGTTATATGTTGGGGGATCTGCCTTAGATTCCAGGCAGTCCTCATGCAGACAATCTGTCAACCACGCTGATCAGAAGCCATGTGATCTGTCATTGATCACATAGCTTGGATTGGCTGCGGGGAAGAAGGGAAGAGAGAGAGACCACAAACCCAACCTCAGTTTAAAAAAAAAAAACAAAAAAAAAAACACGACTTAAAAATTATTTTGCCAGTTACTGTCCTAGTTTTGTTTAGCGCAACAAAGCAGGCAAACATGTTACAAAAATTGGATTGAAAAAAGTTCTATTTTGAAGCTGAGTATCTGACAATCACTCAATTTGCAAATCACATTGGATCTTATCTGCATCAGTTAACATCTGTAGAGAACACCTATTGTGGTAATAACGAATGCTAACACATTTCGGTACCATAGGCATATAGCTCTGAGTCTTAAATATTCATAAGAGTTTTCTTGTATCTAGTAAAGCAGGAGGACATGACAATTCTCTAACTGAGGGAATTCAAAGTTTTTAGGCACCTGCAGCAAGTCTTGAGGCAAACACCTAACAAAAAAAGTCAATCTCTACAGACATGCATCACAAGTAAATTAGGGTGTGTTCTCAGAACTATAACACACGTCCCCACCACACATGAAGGACAAAACCTTATGATGGCACCTGCAATACTGAGGCAACATTTGTTTATTTATCTGAAACCATCTGGAGTTATTTTACTGCAGCTGCCACACGTGGTTAAGTCTAATGGCATCTAAAAAGTATCCTGGAATCTTCATCAGAAACTCAAATACTCTGCAATACATGTAGCGCAGTTCTGAATTATTTGAGCTATAATTACACTAGATATTACTTGAAAAGCTTCAAAGAGCATTGTTACATGGAGAATACTCTGGAACTGCATTCAGCCCAGGGGTAACCTCAAGTAAAGGTTTCCAGTTTACCTGCACACTTTTCAATGTAAACCCTGCCTTTTCAGAGATAAGGCAGTATTGACAGTGTTGCTTAATAACACTTCTAGTGAGTCACTCAGACATCCTCTAGAGTGCAACCTGCGTCAGTGCTGTATAGTGCACAGCACCTATGTTCAGCGTCTCCATGCTCTGCGGGGAGGCACTGAACGTTCCCCATAGAAATGCATTGATTCAATTCATTTCTATGAGAAGATGCCGATTGGCGCAGCGTGGCGGTTTGCCACACATGCGCAATAGCCTCCCAATGCTTTCCTACTGGAAAGCATTGGATTGACGGAGATCATAAAGATTGATGATCACAGTCATGGAGGCAGGGCCAGCTGTGGTGAGACCAGCACAGCGTGGGGGGGGGGTGAACCTTTTCCTTTACTATTGGAGGGGTACCGGTCACCTAAACACACACACACACACACACACACTGACAGACACTCACTGAGACACACATTAACGTGACCACCCATCCTCCCTACCTTTTGGTAGAGCTAGAGTGGTTCGGCTTTCCCTGTGGTCCAGTGGGGCTTCAGTCATCTCCCTGCTCTGCTCCATAGAACGCTGTTGAGTGATGCCGGGGTCGAAATGACATATTCCAGCTCCCGGCATCACTAGAGGGCATGTGAAGGAGCAGGAACATTACAGCTCCCTTGGGCGCCTGCCCGTTTGGATCTATCTTCCACGAGCCTCCCGCCCGTGCACACACCCTTCCACCCTCTTTCAGCTGGCCGCCTGCACACAGCAATGCTCTCCCTGAGCAGGCCGACAGACTGCATGCCTATGCTCTTCCTGAGCTGACCAGCAGCACTCATAGGTAGCCGACCACCCCAGGATCTAAATGGACAAGCAAATCCCAGGTGCTAGGACAAAAATCCTGGTAGCCATGGCAACCTGGGATTTGTCGACCTGCTGTACATAATGGATAAAGGGTTTACTAAATGGCAATGAGGAAAATAGGTTGAAATATGGAAAGGAATTGGGGCTTACAAACAATCCTTTATTCACACACCAAACCTCAGACACCATGCTAATTTACATTAGAAATATACAACTTTTTTATAAATGCAGCCCTAATTTGTTAAGATGTTTAAATGCAAAATACTGTCTTTACATGAAGAGGCTTTGGTAAGGAATACTTTATTTTCTACTTTAAAATGCACAAATGGCATGACAGTGTTTTGTTTTTATACAATCTTTCATACATGTGTATTTCAAAAGCAATACATAGAACATGCACAAAGATGAGATTAAAAACACAATTTTCCAGCTGTGGATTACAGTGTATATAGATCATTCGAAATCTGCTAAAAGGAATCTCTTCTAAAGTGACCTTTAGAAAAAGAAAGTCCAAACTCAGCATGTGCAGCTTGTGAAAGTCATGTTAAGGCTGGCAGAGTTCTCACATTACAGTTTATAGCAATTTGCTGCCCTCATACGGTGTGCTGAGGTCCATTGCTTTTAGTGTTCAAACACTGCACCATTCAGACGTTGCAATAAAAGTTCTAAGGCATTGCAATCTTTATAAATACGAAATTTATTCATAAAGACTTAAACTTTTAATGTTTTGACTACCAAAGATGGAAAGCAACTTACCCACAGCAGGAAATTTAAATGTTTTTTAATTGAAGTAAAAGCTATATACATAATGTGTTCTCACAATAAGTGGAATGAAACACTAACACCCTCCCTGGGGGGTAGAAACACAAAAATCTGTTACAAGAGAGGCAGTGACTGTTTGGACATGTCAGATACATGAACAGGCTGGCGCATGGCTGCAGTGCTTAAGTAGAACACTGATCAGCAAGTTTCAACAATCCTGCAAAACCACTAAGGGTGTTATCTTGCTTCTTTCAAATTCTCTGATGAGCACATATTTCTTGCACTCAGCAGTCCCAATAACGCTTTATATACAAAAAAAAAAAAAGAAAAAAGTAGAACAACCATTTTATATGAGGGCAATGCCTTCAATGTTTCTCTGAGACTTTTCCGGTTTGTTGGTGCAATGCTATTCACAATGTAGATTTTGCAACAGCAACACACCTGTCTGAGCATTAAGTCATCTTTACGCAAACATACAGCGGTCATCTCATTAGTAGCTTGCTCATGGCAGCTTTTAGAAGCAAGGAGTCAAATGGCCAAGGCAGCTGTTGAAAGTGTACAGGTGTTAGAAACTCCATGAAGTTTGTCCTGGAAACTGCAATGTGGAATATCCAAAAAGGAATACTGAAAATGAGCCACGAATCATAGGTAAATATGGAAATTATGAAACGCTGTGCAGTCTGTTCCTATAAATAGAAGGTCCATTTGTTACATATTGGTGTAAAAGCATAAAAGCTTCCATGGTAACTCTTTAGAAAGAAATTATTCCCCCCTCCCAAAACAGAATATGTAACCATATGGGAACCATGGCAGAGCCATCATATTACAGAGTCAAGGCTGCCATTGTGCTTTGAGGGAAGCAAGTAATAGTGTTCAGAAACATCCATGGATCACGGGTGAGTTCGGGTGTTTTACGGTTTTAGTTCAATGAAGCTGCTGTTCCGTGACATACTTTCCACAAGCTCTTTTCTAGCTCTCAAACATTTACTCTATCCAATCAAATTGACGTAGAGAAGCAGTGACATGCGCAATGAAAATTATTCCAGGTATTTCTAGTAAGTCATGGAGAAAGTCTCTGATGCAAAGAACCTGGTCCAAGGCAGAGGAAGCCTTTTATGATACTATACTGCCTTCCTGTGGTATTCCGGGGGTGCCACCTCATAGTCACTTGCACTAAACAGCGTAGAGGAATTTTTGGCCAAATACCTGAGGGAGAGAAAAACTAAAAATTGTTAGATACACTATATTAATTGCATTAAAATTAATTTAACAGGATGCTGACAATGCTTACATCATCAGCAAGATTTTTTTTTGCTTGAAACATCCACAGCATTAATAAAAATGTACTAAATCCACCGCTAGTTATATTTTTGCCCTAGAATTTTTTTTTATCCTGCAATCAATAGTTCTTAACATTGATTTCTGACATGTTCCCAAACATGTTCGATTGCAGCAGCTGGCAAATTATTCTTTAGTTTTTAATTATACAGACATTAAGTTTACAAAAGGGGTCTACAATGCATTTAGAATGACAATGCTACTACACTAAGCCAACTGTCAGTTACTGGGTATCTTAAAGGGATGCACCTGTCCAGATCAGTTGGGTTCTACCACTATCATAGCCTAAGAATAAGTTAAGTATGACTAGTGTGGCAAGACACATTAAAAAAAAAACCCGTAAAAGTAGACTCCTGTTTAATACTTAATAGAAATACAGACAGATTACAGGACTAGTTCTGAATTGAAGCCTTTGACTAGCCAAATCTACACTGGAGAAAAAAAAAAAAAAAATGTAAAAGCTTTCTGTACCTCAACCTGACTCCACTTGAAACTGGTGCACATGAAAAATAACCAGTGAATATTGATTTTACTCACTTTAGGAAATCATGCAGATAGTTGAGTAGCAGGGCCAGACTCTTTTCGTCTAATGGAGTGTAGGATAACATTGCTCCAATGCGAACTAAAACAAATAGTAAACAGATGACACGAAGTTAAACTTCACAAACACTGCATTACATAAGCAATTAGTGCACAATTCTATGATTAAATAAATAAAAAAAAGTCTACATTGCATTATGTGGGGCAAGCACTTCATACTGTACTATATGGGTCGCTATCAAGGAAAAAAAATTAAAGCCCTGGGCCAATAAATAAATAAATAAAATAATAAATAAAACACAAACAAAAAAAACCCACACACACACAAAAAAAAAAAACAACTTACCAAATAGACGCAAAAGATGAGGTGCACCATAAACCTGAGACATCGGAGCATCGGGGTGATCTGCCAAAATGTCGGCATACTGAGGGCGTTCAAATTTGTAGAGCAGTTGCGTGCCCAGCATGACATTAAAATATTCCTTTATTCCAGCCACAACCTCATTCACAGCATATTCCCTGAGAAAGAGGCAAAAAGTATGTCACCAGAATCTCATGAACAAAATAAGAGCAGCTCATTTTTTAAAAAAACCAAACAGTCAATAGGCTAGAGATCTGTTTAGTAGATGTACGCAAAACAGGAAAATCTTACTTGTTATCAGTATTGCCACGTGATTTCTTGTATGTAGCATAATCTTCTAGAATAGCTTCAACATTTTTCTTGGCAGGAAGATTAAAGAGCTAAAGGGAGAGGCAAAATAAGAGTGGTAGAACAGTTACAGATAAACATTACCACACTGCCAGTCCAATAGCGGAGAGTGGCAAACAGGCATTTTACTCAATTTATAAGCAAAACATTAGGTGACAGTCTGGTAAATAATGAATTAATATAGGTCTGGGATCACTTGTGTAGTCTATGAATCATACTGAAATGAATAGGTTGATCTCAGATTTCTAGTTCCTTTTATCCCTACATTTCCACTCTTTTGTAATAGACCTTTATTGATAGACAAAAAGTTGTGTGTAAGCACGTACCACAATATTAGACACAATGCACAAATGTGAAGGCAAAGCATAACTTACTATGCCCATGCACACGTTTAAAGGACCACTATAGTGCCCTGAGGGTGCCCCCACCCTCAGGGACCCCCTCCCGCCCGGCTCTGGAAGGGGTAAAAACGTACCTTTTTCCAGCGCTGGGCAGGGAGCTCTCCTCCTCCTGGACTGAATGCGCACGCGCAGCAAGAGCTGCGCGCGCGCGCATTCAGCCCGTCGCATAGGAAAGCATTTACAATGCTTTCCTATGGACGCTTGCGTGCTCTCACTGTGAAAATCACAGTGAGAAGCACGCAAGCGCCTCTAGTGGCGGTCAATGAGACAGCCACTAGAGGATTAGGGGGAAGGCTTAACCCATTCATAAACATAGCAGTTTCTCTGAAACTGCTATGTTTATAAAAAAAATGGGTTAACCCTAGAAGGACCTGGCACCCAGACCACTTCATTAAGCTGAAGTGGTCTGGGTGCCTGGAGTGGTCCTTTAAGGTTTGCTTTGAGACTTCTAGTTCTGGAAGTCCAATATATTGAGAGCAAAGTGTAAGAATTATTCTTTATAAATGCACAAACAAAACCAAGACATTTGTAAATTAATTCTATTTAATGGACCTCATCAGTTAGGTACTGCACATTGAGCGTTATTCTACACAAACTGGAAATACACACTTAAAGGGACTCTAGAAGCAACCAGAGCACTTTATCGCATTGGTGTGGTCTTGGTATTATGTCCCTCTAGTTTTAACCCTGCAAGTCAAAAAACATTTCCATTCTATATACCTGCTTCTGCCGTGTGATGAGATCCCAGTCATCCACAAGCCAAGGTTTCAACTCCTCAGGAATTTTCACTTTCACCTCAACCCTGTTCATAAAAGTCTCCTCCTAAGGAGAAAAAAAAAAAAGAAGTCAGATATATGATGAGTCTCTCTCACATAAGCTGTAAGATTTGCCGTTATGTTTAATCTATGCAAGACCAGAGGAAGAAACAAGAGACTGATCTTAAATGTTCATGTTTTATTTCGATGAATAAAATGTGCAGCATGACAGACAACACAATAGCTTATTACTGCAGAATACAACTTGCTGAGAACCACTTCTATTCTGCCTTTTAACAACTAATCTCTCCAAAACTATTTACTCCTGCAAGACTATCTTAAGCATGTGCAGAAAAATTCTCCCACTCCTTAAAATGCTGCAATTGGATCTCCAGGCAAAGGTCAATTTTGGCATTGCAAAATTTAAGCAGTTAAAATGTAAGGTGACCCTGCAAAATCTTCAGGTGATTACACTTTATTCAACTGTATAAACCCTGTTCAGCCATCTTGTTACATTATACAAATGATACAACAGAGTCCTCCACCTTTGACAGTTTGGTCTACGTAATTCTTGCAGTTTATTAAACCAGAGGACCTGACGTTCACGACCCAGGACCGTTCTCAGACCTACGTAGACATATGGATGCACTGGTAACAGTAGTTTACCAGGTAGACTTTCAGAGACTTGACTTAAGGGCAACTACCAGGCCTTTCGGAGGAACGTGGGGCCTCGCCTAGCAGCTCCCAGTTTGGGTGGAGTTGACCACACTTCTGGCTGGCTGAGTAAGTCGGGTGAATGTGACAGTAGGGTGTTCGGCCAATGGCTTCCAACTACCACTTTTTTTTGAGAGAGAGTTACTTGTATGTTCATATGGAATGTTTGCCTCATAACAAGAAGCTTCACAACAGTAACCCAACATATTGTTTTACGTCCTGCATTATGTTAAATAGACCTGCAAGTCTGCATTTGTAACAGGATATTCCTTTAAAGGGAAACTCCAGTGGCAGGAAAACAATCCCTTTTCCTGGCACTGCAGGTCCCCTCTCCCTCCCACCTCCCATCCCAGGTAGCCGAAGGAGTGAAAACCCCTTCAGGTCACTTACCCGAGACCCTGCCGATGTCCCTCGGCGGTGGTTTCGGGGTGGCGTCGCTCCTCCCAGTAATCATGTCAGCCGGTGGGCGAGACTGATCCCGCCGACCGGCTGAGGAAACCTAATGCGCAGCAATGCCGCGCACGCACATTAGGTCTCCCCATAGGAAAGCATCGAAAAAGATTTTCAGTGCTTTCCTATGGAGAATTGTGCGATGCTGGAGGTCCTCACACAGCGTGAGGACGTCCAGCGACGCTCTAGCAAAGAAAATCTTTGCTATAAACCAGGAAGTGCCCTCTAGTGGCTGTCTAGTAGACAACCAATAGAGGAGGAGTTAACCCTGCAATGTAATTATTGCAGTTTATGAAAACTGCAATAATTACAGTTGCAGGGTTAAGAGTAGTGGGAGTTGGCACCCAGACCATTCCAATGGGCAGAAGTGGTCTGGGTGCCTGGAGTGTCCCTTTAATGGCCCTGCAAGGCCACAAAACTGGAAAATACAAAATTATGTGATCGGCTTTTTGCGGAGGACCTGCGTGCCCCATTGCCTTATCAGTTTTCTATGCTTTTCGATTACAATAAAAATAACTCACAAGACAAAATATTAAAAAGATGCTCTGCTATACAGGGAGAGGTAGTACAACTAATCTAAATTAATAAGCTTAACTTGAAGAGTGGGATTCCCAATTACACTATCACGGCAGAGATCTCTACCTTTGTGTACAACTTTGCACCCGTAGGATCTGCAGACAAGAGCTATCCCACCAGGCATTAGATTACTGCATTTAATTATTTTATTATTATTTTTTTTTTAATGGGTAGTGTGGGGAGGCTGGTCACACTTTACATGTCACCCTCCACATACATTGTCAGCCCACCACACAGATGCGTCAACTCCCTTCACCTTGCCACACTCAAACACCCCCCCCACCCCTATCACCTCCCACAGCTGCCACGCTTAACTCTTCCTAGCCCTGTAATACTCACCCTCCTCCCTCAACTATGCAACACTTACGCTGTCACCTAAACACCCATATTCTTTTCACACACAGCCATTAAACTGTGCTTGAAGGGACACTAGAGTCACCAGAACAACTAATCTGCCAAGTTGTCTTTTCAATTGATGTTAGCTGCATGAAATTCTACATTTTAGAACAAGAGAACCTGATTGGTTCCTTCCGGTCAATTCAAATATACAGTGTAACCTGAATGTACTGGTCTTTAATCTAAAAATAAAAATTTTGGTCCCAAAGACCAGTTCTAAAATATGGGCAGCCCAACCCGTGCTGGGCTCATCCTTAGTGAGGATGTCTAAACAGTTGTCACAAATTGACCCTTTCATTACCACATTGCCATTCTTGACCCCCAGGGAGAGAAGATCTCTTCCACTACTTGAGAATATTTTTGTAATGAACTTGTTTGTGGCTTTTGTCCATGTGAACCAAGAATAGCCAATGGAATTCATACTCCAATAAGAGAAGGTTGAAACTTTTTTGGCTAAAATCAACATTTAGAATGGTTCTATGGAAAAGCCAAGCCCTCTGATAATCTAAATAAACATGAACTAGAAAAGGCTCCTCCACAGGAACATTCCCGATTTGGACTAAAAGTTTACCATGCTTTGATTCATTTTTACAATACACATCCAGAAAATAAGGTTCAGGTACTAAAGAAATTCTTCAGTGCTGCAACGTGGGCATCTATAAGTTTGTTTCAGATTGAATTAAAGCAAATTTAAAAAGAATGATGCCTTTCAGCAGCAGTTTTTAGCACAATGATTCCAAAGCTTTCCCATACAACACCCCAGCAACTGTGTTACAGATTGCAGAGTGTAGATATTTGGATTATAAAACTGCTTTGGTGAATTCGGTTTCATTTTAGAGAACAAGCTGAGAATATACTACTTGTCCAACCAATATAAAAAAAAAAAAAAATACATTTCAAAGTAAAGCCCACCCTCCTTTTCTTAAAGTGCCAGGAGCGCAAAGGGCTAAAGTGAAGAACAGTTGGCAGGGTATTTAAACAGCTGGAATTGAACTTCCCATTTTTAATCTTTGCGCCAAGTACCAGAGATTGTTTTGTGCAATTTATAAAAGTAATTCTTGCATTTCACAGATTAAACTGCCCCTTTCCACCGAAATAGTTTGGACTACTGTTACCAACAGCTAATCAGTATGTGTTGCAGAGATACTCACGCTCTCTACGGTGGGATCAACACGCGCCCGTTTCTTGCGTGGAGGCTGGGGCGCCTCGCTGGTGCTACTACCTTCCCCACTCCCTGGTGCTGTAGACAGATAAAAGCAGATTAGACAATAGTGACTGTCTACTTTTTCATGGGATGACTTGATTCAAGTAAGATAGTATTAAAAGAGTGATGTAATTGAATGCCTACTAATATCTTCTCTAGACAGGTCAAACATATGTTAAAGACATAAAAGTTGTAATGAACGTACCTTTTTGCTTGTTCTTTTTTGTTTTCCTAGAAGACAAAGACATCCAGTTTAACGCTAGACCTTTGGTAAATGAATATCACCACCAGTCAAGTCTCATCAGGTCCAAGACTGGTCTGTTTACAGTGCTGTACACACAAATTCTATCGCCTAACAATGATACAGCGCTACTGTCCTAACTGATAATGTAAATATGCAGTGATATACCTACAGTTATATTCTACGGTGTAAATAAGCATTTAGGGCCAATTGCACGTTTTAGGTCAAAATCACCACGCTGAAAACAGAACTGATAGAATTTTTTTCTAATCCAGCTATAAGGACCAAAACATTTTTAAAATGCACTATGAACCAAAGACAATTTAGACTTTGGTGAATAACCCTACTAAATACCGCATGGATTGATAAGAACGTTTATCCACATTATTTAGTACACACAATAACACTACAACAGGTCTTATTTTTACTTCTAATATTTTCATTTTGAGCAGTATACTACAGCACAATCGTGACATTTGAAAGGACCCCTCCCAATAATAAAAATTAAAATTGTCAATAAAAACCCAAAACTATATATTGATAGCCATGAAACCTTACACTTCTACATTTTTCTGTTGAAGCGCAGCAGTCTTCTTTCCTGGAGCTGCAGCTCTCATCTTCCCTTCTGCATACTGATCCCTGCAATAACAATTTTAAATAAGTCACTGGGTCAGAGCCTGAGCCTTTGGAACAAAAAGCCTGCTATTCTCATAAGGACTAGGCACAAATATTAAATGTGTGCAATTCCCCTGGGACTTCACTAAGCAATTGAAACCAAAAAAGTGCCTTTTCAGCTGTATAATAGACAGTCCCCTAATTGTGGAATTGGAATTTTATTGGTATCTACTAAACACAACAGCTCCCTAAATTAGTACCTTTATATGAGAGAGCTGTTTAGTAGACTGCTCCCTAACGCAGTACTGCCATATTCAAGCATATTAAATTAGAGTTCTTTTTAGTAGATAGCTCCCTTATTTGATATCCTTAATATTGCAATCCCACGTAGCATAGTTATCTGCTAAACAGCTGAAAGATCATATAATTTATAATTTTGACAATTCAGATGTGTTTGGCAGATGGCTCCCTAATTCGATATCCTTAAGTGGAATTACCATTTTTAAAAGGAAACCAAAATTAGGTAACTATCTGCTAAACAACACCCTCACATGGTATCATTTGGAATAATAGTGCTTTCCAAAATGTTTCCAAATTGACAATGTAAGAATTTCAAACAAACTGAAATTAGAAAATCAACGAATTGAAAGAAATGGTTCGTCTGTGCACATCTTTTAAATAGAAAGCATAGCATGCCCTACAATAAATGACTAAGTGATAGGTTTATACTCACTGATTGGCCTTCTGAAGTTCTTTCTGCTTCTGTAGATTGGTGTCAACGTATTTGAGTACTCTGCTCTCTGGTACCCACTCATCCCAGCTGCAGAAATGGAGGAACAATCACCAGAGGGTCTGAGAAACACAGCTATTTGCTGTGCACATTTTTTACACCACACATATACTTTCAACCTAATACAACTATGGTTTTTCATATTAATGACATCTTACTGGCAAGGTTTTATGAAAGTATTTGACGACAATATGGCGGATTTACAGATTTGTTATCAGGAAGCAAAGATATGACCCACAGGGGGTGATATTAGCCAACTAGTATCCGTGATCCATTTAGACAAGGCTGATTAGTTGCTTGTCTTCATTTAGGAGACTTTCGCATGAGTTCAGCAAACTGTGGCACGTAGGGGTGATTGACTGGAATGAGCCTGTTAAGGACAACAGAGAATCTCCCCCACTGGGCCAGAGCACCCCTCAGAGCACAATGGAGCCTATGGTCTGCATCAAGCCAATGCACACTTCACATGTAACCCTTGTATGCTTCTTAGAGAGTCCGGGTTTTGCTGTGGTTACCATGGCAACACAGTCTCACCAAGCCAGACTGGAGACAGAGGTATGAGTGGGAACAATGATGATTCCTACACCCACCCTTGGGAAGAGGTAGGCACCTCCTGTTTCTCACCCTTCCAATCCATCTAGAATCTATTCCCATATGATCTTATAATCTAGAGTCCTCAACTCCTGCTGCATTTCTTTGTGACACTCTTTTCACTTCTGGTTTAGCTGACCACTCAGCCTATGACTGACATTATATGCAATAAAAGTTGCAGAGAATTGACATTAGCCTGCCCTGGATTCTAGTTCAAGTCTGGATGATGACACTCCAATGACGCTGCCAGAGGTGGAGTTAAACCTCCGGCAGCAGAAAGGTTACAAAAAACAAAATGCTGCACAGACTCATACATTCTAACAACATTTTTACACATAATTTAGGAAAGAGTGTTCTGGAAGAGTTCTTATAGGCCACTTGTGGTCCACTTACTTCTTATTCCACCCACTGTAGTGAATGAAGTATTTTACTTGCTTGTCTTTAATGGCAACCTTCACACACTGAGGAAAGAGAAGTTTAAATGAATATGGGTCCAGAGAAGAAAAAAAAAAAACGAAACAAAAAAATGATGGAAAGATGAGTGGTCCACTAAAGATGCAGAACTAGAATATTGTTAAATTCAGAAGTCTGTGCAGAACCATGTGAATAGAGAACATCAAAGAAATGATATACATACTTTCATAACTTATTTATATACTAGCTTCCTGCATTAGCAGAATGGTGGTACTGCATAGTCACATTTTAGGTAAAAAAATAATTAAAGGGCTATTAAGTATGGAATATAATAAATAAAACATGGTAGATAATGTGAAAGAAAATGCAAAATTAAGCGAGAAAAACTGTTTTGTTAGAGAATCCGTTTCATTGTTCTAAGGTCTTGTAAACTCATGTAAGAGGAAGGGTGGTGGTGGTGGGGAGGGAAGCCAGATAATCTGAATAATCTGAGCGGTTTTTGCCAAAGTTATTACAGCCCTCCTCTGACAAGGTATAAATAAATAATCTAATGTAAACATTTTTTAGATTCGTAAAGGAATATGCGTGTATACTTTTCTGAAAACCACAATGCGTAACTGCTTGGGGAGCTTTGCGTTCAAGATGTGATAAATGCAGGACAGAATAAAAAAACACTTGTGTAAACTCAATACGAGCGTTTCACAGAGGCAGGGTAGACTTACCTTTGCTTCATATAGGAGAGGCCCATGAAAACACAAGACACGCTCACCTGGGAGAAAAGGATGAAAATTGACATGTTACATGCAATAACTGCAGGGCAACCAAAACAATATTAAGTGACAAGCTCACGTGCAGAGTATATGAAAGCACTTACAATCTTTTCAGTGGTCACTGACAGGTCCCTAAATTAATTTTTAAAGTGTTCCTCTAAGCACTAAAACCACTTAATCTTAGTGAAGTTGTTTGGTGCATAGATGCAACCACTTTTGTTTGGCAATATACACCATTGTCATTTCAGAGAAACTGAAACATTTACATTTGCCTAAACCATGCAACTAGCAATGTCCCTTTTGTGAGGCAGTGGCTCAGAGACCTTCATGATTGGAAGGACTTCCTATTCCGCATACAGCACAATGATGCTGACAGCAGCCAATGAAAAGCATTGGATAGGTGGACAGCCCTATGTTTCGAATTCTTTATGAGATGCATTGGACTGGATAAAAGTTATCAGAAGTGAGGACTTCACCAGAGACCAAGTAGCTGCAAAGAAGAATGTCCAGGGGCTGAAAAGCTTATTTATTTTTTTTACATTTTATATAACAAGGGGGCTCACAGCTCAAACACCATGTGAAACACTAGAAAGTTCAAATAAAATCTTTTTAATATGAGTTTTCCTTTAATTTTCATTATTTATTTACAGGGACACTATAGTCACCAGAACATCTACAGCTTATTGCATTTGTTCTGGCGAGTAGAATCATTCACTTCAGGCTTTTTGCTGTAAACACTGTCTTTTCAGAGAAAATGCAGTGTTTACATTACAGCCTAGGGATAACTGTAGTGGCCACTAGAGGTGCTTCCTGGGGCAGTGCTGCACAGTGAGCAGCACTGCCATTCAGGGTCTACACCCTCTGCATGCAGACAATGAACTTTCCTCACAGAGATGCATTGATTCAATTCATCTCTATGAGGATATGCTGATTGGCCAGGGCTGTGTTTGGTTTGTGCTGGCTCTGCCACTGATCTTCCTCTTTGACAATCTTAGACAATCCTATGGGGAAGCATTGTGATTGGCTCAGACCACCACTTCTGATGTCAGCAGGCAGGTCAGAGCCAGAAGCATCAACTTAAATACACGTATGATTTTACTAAATTTAGGGAGGCAATCGGGACTAGATGGTTGTTTTAAAACTTTAGGGTCAGGAATACAGGATTGTGTTCCCGACCCTATAGTGTTCCTTTAAAACTTAGTGTGAAGGAACAAATAAGAACCTTCTAAAACTGAATATACAACAGTATTAAGAGGGTGTTACATATTGAATAATTCTGGGACAATGTTCTAAAAGTCAGTCAGATAGAACATTCTATTGCAATTGTTCCACTGACACACAAGCACTCTATAATTGTGCTCCAGCAAACAGTGTATATTTTCAGACAATGGTTAAAACCCAGAAGAATGTGTGGCAATATCTAGCTAAAAGAACTGTGGCCAAATAATGGATCATAACTTTGGATGAAGATAATATTTTTCATTGGCTCATCCAAAAAAAATATACAAGTGTGCAATATTTTACATATAAACACAATTTAGAAGTCACATTTTACTGGGAGAAAAAGCTAGGGGAGGGGGAGTGGACACGGTTACCATAAAACAGAATATAGGACAGGGGAAAAGACTTCTGGATTAATAGAATATGTGCAGCTCTCCATCTCAATCTCCAAATAACTCACAGAGAAACTTATCAAGAGCTTACTTACACTACCCACATACAGGGTTTCAAAACTAGATTTTCACATACCCACCCACATCCCTTCTGTACCCCTAACCCACCTTACAGTCCCTAGTAATTTTCTGTAGTAAGTAAATCAACATACTTCTCAACCCAAGCAGTGAAAACTCTGGAGTCTCCTTACTAAAAAAACCTTGCAATGACGTAAATGTTCATCAAAAGCAGAGGAAGAGCCTAACCTGCGAGGAAACAAAAGAAATCAGGAACATTTTGAGTCTCACAGGGAAACTGCACGAGTTGAGAAGTATGAGTTAGATAATACAGTATTTATTGCAGTTAATTTGGTATAGACAGCCCATGGATGTCACCAGTACCTTGCACCAATATCACCCATTCTAGCAAAGTACAGGCATGCAGTGTGCGAGGAGATCGCCATTACGTCAAGTAAGAGGTCAGCCAAATACCTGGTCACAACCAGTAATAAATATCTCTTGCTTAAACAGGCTGCATATCTTCAACTTACACTTACCACTGAATGGTCACTTAATTGAAGCCCAACTCATCTTCCACCCACCTACTGCAATGCCACTCTTCATCTAAGCCCAAAACTTATAGGTTGTTACTCTCCGGTCTATACCATTTCAGTATGCTAACCTGCCAAGTAATGCCGGCCCAGCTCATTTAACAGAAAGACGTTTCAAAAGATTGGAACAACTAAATGTGAACTACTTAAAGGGTTAATCAATGCACAATGATCACTTCAGTGCTTTCAAATTGTCATGGTGCAAAGAATCTATACGTGAAGCATCTCAAACGGATATGCTTAAAGGACCACTATAGTGCCCTGAGGGTGCCCCCACCCTCAGGGTCCCCCTCCCGCCGGGCGGGGAGCTCTCCTCCTCCTCTTCGGCTGAACGCGCATGAGCGGCAGGAGCTGCGCGCGCAGCCAGTCTCATAGGAAAGCATTCATAATGCTTTCCTATGGATGCTGGCGTCTTCTCACTGATTTTCACATTGAGAAGCATGCAAACGCCTCTAGCGGCTGTCAATGAGACAGCCACTAGAGGCTGGATTAACCCATTTATAAACATAGCAGTTTCTCTGAAACTGCTATGTTTATTAAAAAAAAAAAGGTTAATCCTAGATGGACCTGGCACCCAGACCACTTCATTAAGCTGAAGTGGTCTGGGTGCCTAGAGTGGTCCTTTAACGTGTAGAGATATATTGCCACCTCTGGTAGAAACATTAGCCAGCCCGGAACAAGATGTTTTTTGCAAATTGGGTGTCTGTCAGTACGCACAGTATGCTGGTGACACTACCAATGGAGGCACAGCCACCCCCCCATATCACCAAAGTCCTCCCCAACTTGCTATCACTTCACCATGTAGTGATCATCAAGGTAATAAGAGTCAACATTATGTTAATTGCTATAGGAAGGTTGGGCATTTTGTTACTTATCACTTTTTTGTACTATAAGCTCTCAGCCAATGATGTTCAGATAGGGACAAAATTGACACTGCAGAAGTGGCTCTAGTGGTTACGTCGCTTAGAGTGCTCCTTTAAGGGAGTATCATAATGGAAGCAATGTCCTGCTCTGGTCACAGCTAGCTACAAGTGCTTCAATGTCTGGGAATTTTAACCAAACTTTGGTTCATAGAATTATAATTTTAGTCTGTTTTTTGTTTTAGGCTTAATATTATAGGGTACTAGAATTCCAACATATGGCAGGAGCGGTAAATTTAAGTCTTCAGGAGATTTTAATTGGAGTGGGCCAAAACGTAAAATAAAAACGCACATCTAACTTTTTCTTTTTTTTTTTTTTGAGTGTCCCTTTAAGAGGGGTTAGCATCATTTACATAGAGACCACCTACTACGCAGCTCTTCAAGCCTTTATTTTAGTAATACAGTGGAGATTTATAACAGCAAATGACATGTACCCTCCCTAGCTCTTAAGCAACTCTTTTGTTAAGGATTTGATGGTGCTACCATACACAGAGTGAACGTACACTGATTGTAATACACTCAGTAAGATTTAAAATACAAATGCTGCACTAACACGGTTACTCACGAAAACCACTAATTTTAGCCTATGAAAGAAACACAAACCTGTATTTCTGACACTAATGCCAGCGTGGCTGTTTAGGCCCTCGCCTCCCATTAGATTGCTCTGAAAAGGTAATTTTACTCGCATTTCCCCCCCAAGCTGCATTGAATCAATGCATCTCTTTGGGGAACATTCAGTGTTTCAATGCAGAGCGTACAGATGCCACAGTGCAGCACTGACACAATAAGTACCTCTAACTAGAGGTGTTATTAGCCAGCAATCTAAACACTGCCTTTTCTCTGAAGCATGCAGGGACAGGCTAAAGATACCAGAACCACTACACTAAGCTGTAGTTGTTGTGGTGGCTATAATGTCCCTTTAAGTTATGTAGGCTACAATAGCCTATTTCATATTTTTCTATACTATTCATATTTTTGCCAATAGTTTCATGAATAAACCTGTAAGCTAGGGCTCGACAAATCCCAAATGCCTGGGATTTGTTAGCCTGTTGCCACCGAACGGGGAGAGGGGGCAACCAAAATGGGCAGTGAGGGAGCTGAAATGTTTCGGGTCCTCTTTATCCCTCTCTTGCCCTGTTGTGATGCCAGGAGCCAGAATATGACTTCACATTGGCTCCCGCATTACTAAACAATGTGCAAAGGAGTGCAAGCAAGAAGATTTTAGCAACCACACAGCATGCTCAAAACTCTGTGCCAATCAGCATCTCCTCAGTAATGCATTGAAACTAAGCATTTCTACAAGGAACGTTCAGCGCCTCAATGCAGAGTATGGGGATGCTGATACTGTGCCGCACTGAGATAGAAAGCTCCTTTAGTGACTAGGGATCGACCGATTATCGGTCTGGCCGATATTCTGTATTTTCGGGAATATCGTATCGGCCAATTCAGATACCGATATAGCCGATAATATATAACAGGACCGCCGGGCTCATTACAATCCCAGCGGTCCTGTTGGGGGCTGGCGTTTACTTACCTTCCCAGCAGCTCCTCCAGCTCCCCTGTGTAAATGTCGCGAGACGCGCAGCCGTCAGAGCGTTGCCACGGGTTACCATGGCAACGATCCGCGCGGCACGCCGTCTGCGATATTTACACTGGGGAGCTGCTGGGAAGGTAAGCAAGCGCTTGCTGCCGCCCCCCACTGCTCAGTACATGCCACTGGACCACCAGGGAATGCAACAGCCACCCTCCCTGGCCAAGTAACAAGCAGGGAGGGGGGACTAAAAAATAAATATTAAAAAAATATATATTTTTAAAAAAAATGTTTTAATAAAAAAAATGCCCCCTCAATTACATACACTGCATTATATAATGCAGTGTGTATACACACACACTGCAGTGTATATAGTATATACAGCATTCACTTTATGCACTACACAAACATACACTGCATCCACTACACAAACAGCTCCCCTGTCTAAACACACTGCATCCACTGCACATGGCATGTATATTTTGTGCATTTACCTTTAGAAATAAATTATATATATCACAAAATATCGGTAAGTTATCGGCCTGAAAGTTCACAGAATATCGGTAACGGCTCTAAAACAAAAACAAAAAAACCCCAATACCGGTCGATCCCTATTAGTGACAGTCTGAGTGACTGCCACTAGAGGTGTTACTAGGCAGCAATGTAAACGCTGCCTTTTCTCAGAAAAGACAGCGTTTACATTGAAAAGCCTGCATGGACATGCTACAGAAACTATTAAGCTGTAGTGGTCCTGGTGAATGTGGCCTTCTAAAATATGTATTTTTTTGTTTGAATATAAAGCTTTGTCATTAAAAAATAAAAACCCGCTTCCTAATTTTTTTTGGTGGCTCCTAGATTCACGACCAAGTAAGAATTGAACGGGATATTCAACATCCTCACGCATTGCACCAGGAAGTCAAACATCCTCAAATATCACAGGGAAGCATTTGACTGCATGAGCATGCCACTCTACATGCATGCTCTCGTCCCCAATGCTTTTCTATAAGAAGAATTGGATAGGATGAGAAGACAGAGGAGACTGATTGCAGGACAAGGTCACCAAGATGGAGCAAGTCTCAGAGATGGGAAAAAAAGGCAAATAAAGCCAATACTTTTGATTTCATTTTGGGGGCCCTGAATCTAAATAGATAATAGAAAAATATTACAATATGAACAGGTTTGTATGCCAAATGCTATAGTATTACTTTAAATGGGAATTATGTCCACCATAACCACATTATCGTGATTATTAGACTTGCACAAAAATCTATTCAGTGATTAAGACAAATCCCAGATAGATCAATTATTTCAGATGTGTATTGAGGAATTTGAGTCAGATGAACAAACTCACTCATTTTTGCACAAGTCTAGTCTAGTTGAGTGTGATATCACATGTAGCTTTGAAAATGTGTATATTTATTACATCTAATTGTTTTCTTTGCTCCTGCATTATTAGGAGTATTTTTTGTACATGTGGAAATCAATTTTAATTGATAAATTTCATAATGCGATAGACTGAACAAAAAACAGTAGCAGGATTCTGGTAAAGTAACTTAATGGTGCAGTACAGTAAAGAGATGAGAGAAAGAGTTAAATTTGCAAAACACGATCCTGAAAAAGGTTTTCCTGAATGTTTAGAATGGTTAGATTAGCTCATTATTCAACATCACTTTGCTTATTGAGGGTTTTATATATAAAGAGAACCTGTGGGAATGGGATAATGACGGAGCTATCAACACGGAAACCAACACAGTTTTGCCGCTATGTGCCAACATAAATGTCACAAAGCAACTGCTTCATGGGTCTAGTATGACATCAATACGCACAGCAGGCATTTATAGACAGAGCATTTCTTCTGTTAGTTGTAGATCAGCTTATTTCAGTATACAACTTCCAGAAATCACTGTAGTGAAGCAGGTCAGGATAGTACAATGTTTATATGGGCACATGCAAACAGTTTACCTCCATAACATAGTAGGATGAAGCATTGGTTAAAGTGTAGCATTTGAATCATACAAGTAAGATAAATACCCTGTATGAAAACCTATGCTCAGAGTATTGCCATAGTGCTTGAAGCCCTTGCTTTATGAAAAGAGAACTTGCACTGCACATTCAGGAAGCAGAAATAGAGTGACAACTAGCATGTTTAAACAATGTGTACCTTGCTTTCAAATGCAGTCATTGCATAAGAAACAAGATGACTAAGACATAATTCATTAGGCAACACCCAAGCTCATGCCCAAGCCCATGCCCTGTCATAACCCCTATGTGCGTTTTCCAAAGCCTGAAAGTTATGCACGGGCAATACATGCCACTTGCCAGGTGGTGCTGGTATGTGTTTCCCGCTTGGTGTAGGAATTCCAGTTTAAGAAAGCACTTCAGTTAGGTGACAAGGTAAAACTTTGCTGAGATTATTGCATTGTAGATAGTGCCTATTGTGAGCTCTTGCATTAGCAGTAGTGGCAGGCTTCATCCAGTTTACCTGGCTAATATCTCCTGAACATGTCTTTACCTGGCTGTTATCAGTCAGGTAAAGGGTGGTAAAGTCATGTTGAGGAGATTTTGGCAAGTTAAAAGGGGGATGGTAAAGCCATGTACGGGAGAGATCATACAGGTAAAAGCCATGTACGGGAGATAGCCAGGTAAAGGGGGTAAAACAATAGGAGATATCGCCTGTACATGGCTATACCCCCCCATACCTGGCCTTGCTTTTCACACGCCTGACGCTGCCTGCGCCTGACGTTTCCTGCGCTTGGCTTTTCGCGCGCCTGGCGTTTCCTACGCCTGGCTTTTCGCGCGCCTGGCGTTTCCCAAGGCTGGCGTTTCCGCGCGCCTGGCGTTTCCCAAGGCTGGCGTTTCCGCGCGCCTGGCGTTTCCCAAGGCTGGCGTTTCCTACGCCTGGCTTTTCGCGCGCCTGGCGTTTCCCAAGGCTGGCTTTTCGCACGCCTGGCTTTTCGCACGCCTGACGTTTCCTACGCCTGGCTTTTCGCACGCCTGGCTTTTCGCACGCCTGGCGTTTCCTACGCCTGGCTTTTCGCACGCCTGACGTTTCCTACGCCTGGCTTTTCGCACGCCTGACGTTTCCTACGCCTGGCTTTTCGCACGCCTGACGTTTCCTACGCCTGGCTTTTCGCGCCTGACGGTTCCTATACATGGTTTTACCCCATCCCAGGAAGCCCTGTTTATGACACATTAATGCCGGCTATAAGTGAAGCCGTTGTGGATCACTCTCCTCATGACTCTCAGCCAGACTCCCAAATAATAATGGCCCCGGTGCCCGCTGCTCCCGCTCTTACCATGCAGCCCCCGGAGCGGGTGATGGCAGACGGCAGGGTACCCGGCAGCAGACAATGGCCGAGCCCGCACCCCCTGCAGACCCCGCCCCTGCACGGGTTACGCGGAGGGCCAGTCGCCCCGTGTTTACCTCTAGAGCTGGCATGCTTTACCGCCACCAAGCCCCGCCGCCATGTTCACTAGGGGGTACCCCCCTCTCCTAGGCATCGAGCTTACCATCTTGGAACTTGGGCTTTGGGTCCTGCTTCGGCGCCATTTATAACGTCCGCGCGGCTCCCGGGGACGGTACCGCCGCATCTACTCACCGCGCGGGCCCGCACGTCACCGCGCACTCTGCGCACGCGCAGCTCCCCTCGCCCCGCGTCACTCAGTCATCCAACCGCGCGTGCGCAGCGCCGCCCCGCCCTCAATGTGAGGCGGGGGGGGTGTTTTCCCGCCATGTCGAGCTCTCAGGATCCCCTCAGTAAATGGAGCCGGGGGGGGGGGAAATACCCGCGAAATAGCGGACTGACAATAACTCACACGCTGATAATAATAATAATGTGGGTTGGGGTCTTTATCGCTGATTCAGTTCAGCTAAACTTACCGTCTAGCGAATTAACGGCGTAAAATATCCCGGCGGGGCGGCAGTTTGATGAATATCGGAGGGAGCCTGCGCGTGACATAACGCGGGAACGAGAGAGTCTCTCAACCCGAAATCCCATTATAGTACATAAAGGGTGGCGGTATATTGGCGGTACATTGGATAGTCACCGCTTATAATGCTGCTCTCTGCGTCAAACACAGCCGCCATAGACAGTGAGAGCATTACATACACAGTGTACAGCAACACGGAGCGATGTAATAACGAAACCACACAATCAGTGGCTGCCTCTAAAACCAATACTTCACTAATTTCACAAAGAAACAATTGAAAACATTTCTTATTATTATTATGTAAGTCTGCTAAAATAAGGGCGAGAAAAAAAAAAAAAAATTGCGCCCAACGTGGGGCTCGAACCCACGACCCTGAGATTAAGAGTCTCATGCTCTACCGACTGAGCTAGCCGGGCACTTGTGCAACGCTCTAGGTATAGCAGATTGCCTACTATGGGTGGGTTTCGTTAGTAGGGCAAATGACTGTGGTGGACTTGAGCCTTTTTTCCAGTTTATTGTGATATATTATCATTAATCGTGGACATCACTTATACAAGCATGCCAACTTTAATTTTAGATAAGTGTCTAAAATTAAAACAGACCTTATTCCTTTCCAGGAATTAATTCTAAAATAATAATTAAAAAAAAACAATGAATCCCTTAATCTGAGGTGTGCAAATGTTTTATTTATTTTTTTAATAAAATCTTTTTCTCTAAGGGACTAAAGCTGTAGCCCAATCTATTTGTCCTAATACAGAAAATGATTCAAGATTTGGGCATCTGGTTAGAGTCCTGAACGTTTACATGATTATTTATTAAATGCAGAATTTCTGCACATTAAATGTCATTGAAGTGGTCTGGGTGCAATGTAATTATTGCAGTTTCTGAGAAACTGCAATAATTCGGGATTATTCTAGCTTTAGTGACTGAATAATCTAAATTTGATTAAAGACAGGAGGCGAATATTTGCTTTTACCTTCTTTACTGAACCTCCCAGCAGCAAAGAAATAGTTAAACATATAGAGAAAAAAATCAACCAATCAGGACACATGTTAGAACATAACAGTCTGTCAGGCTCCTCCCAAATCCTCTTTCTGATGCAGCCGATCATAAGTGTAGTCAACCGTGTAAACTTGAGTAATCCATCAACCATGTAAACCGGAACGCAGCCGATACTAGAGACCAATAGAACGTAGTCTTCGTGGCTCATGCAGAGAAACTTCACACTAAAAGACAGAAAAAGATCGTGAAAGTATGGTCACTTGGAATTGGTTTCCGCAAGATATCTACATACACAGATCTACCCCTGGATATTACGAGTATAAATTATTGCAAAATCTAAAATAGTCAGAACCAGGCAGATTAATAAGCACCTAACCAGAGCAAACAGAAAAAAACAGCTAGATTAATATAAAGTCTCACAAGAAACTTAGAAAAAATTAAGAGTATATGTTACCTGAAAAAAAATCTGGGGTGGGAAAATATTCGCCTCCTGTCTTTAATAAAATTTAGATTATTCAGTCACTAAAGCTAGAATAATCCCGAATTTTATGGCAAGACAGGAGGCTTCATATTTGCTGTTTTAAGTGTGGAAACCAAAGAGAGAGAAGCATGGGACGATTGTCAAAAATAAAAGGTACTGAAAGTAGATTCTCTAAACCAATCAGCGCATTTTAGGATGTCTGCACGGGATCCCCCAGCCATAAAGGCGGAAGAGGCAGCAGCACCTCTGACAGAATGAGCTCCACAAGAGGAATCTATGCCCGCTAAATCAAGAAGCCATTTAATCCAGCGGGCAATCGTGGGACAAGACACAGGCTTGTGTGGTCGCACATATGAGATAAACAGGGGGTTCGTAGGGATACATAAAGGTGATGTAGAGGCGACGTAGTGTTGGACACAACGCAGAGCGACGGTCTGTCAGAAAAATAAGGGTAAGTAATCGTTAAGGAATTAGTTTTAGTGCGGCGAGAAATGTTGAAACGTACACCTTGGGGCGTGAAATCAATAGCGTGAAAGTCAAATGCCTGAATATCAGACACTCTTCTAAAAGAAACTAAGCAGAGAAGAAGAGTTAATTTGGCCGACAGTTGTCGTAGAGAGAGTGCTTAGTTGGGTGGCCAAGTCTCCAGGAAGGACAAAACAAGAGCAACATCCCAAAAATGAGAATTTTTGGGACAGGAGGTCGAGCAAGACGAATGCCACGCAACAGTCTACAGATGGAGGGGTGTTTACCTATTGCAGTATTATCAATGGGGCCATGAGCTGCCGAAATTGCTGAACGAAACACATTAATGGATCTGTAGGATTTACCTTGATCAAAAAGAGAGGACAGAAAGTTCATAACGTTAATCAAAGAAGCTGAAACAGGATCAATACCCCTTTCCAAGCACCAGCGATGCCAAACTCGCCAGGCTGAGAGGTAAGAGCATCTAGTCCCGGGGGCCCATGAGTCCCACAAGAGTTCTCTAGCAGTCTCCGAAAGTCCTGCGGCATTCTAGGATCCCCTGAAACAGTCCAGGCCACTAGCTGGAGATGACCCTGCAATGCGAGAGGGTGAAAGTTGCCTGCGGGATTTTTAAGAAGATAATGCGTGGCAGGTAGCAGTAGTGGATAATCCACCGACATCTCCAAGAGATTGGGGAACCATGGTTGGGTACGCCACAAAGGGGTCAGCAGTGTTATTGTGGTCCCCTGAGTCCTGAGATGATGGAGAGTGCAAAGGATCATGGAGAACGGAGGGAAGGCATAAGCTCCGGTCATTGGCCTAAATTGAAGGAAGGCGTCTACTGCCAGAGAGGTCGGATCCTGTTCAGGTCCCATATAAACCTGTCCCCAAATAACAGTCCGTTAGCCTCTGGACCAAGTTCTTTGGTGCCTAGTTCTGCCAATTTGGCGTCAATTTTATATAATACAGCTTTACGCCGTTCAATGGAATTAGCTTCATTGGCGTTGCCCAACAGGCATAACGCTCTTTGTGCCCATTCATGCACCATGTGTGCGTCAAAATTGCCACCTGCTAGCGTCTCATCAGCAATTATAAAAATCGGGATAAGCGGGCCTGCTATATCCATCAACTTGTCTTGGCCAACTTCGTTTCCTTTGCGGGGATCTTTACCCGTCTTAGTTAAAAAAGTGACCAGGAGTGGGTCAAGTTCAGGGGTGACAGCCACCTTATCAGGGATTATAGGCCGTGGACATTCTGCTCTTAATTTGGCTCTAATCTCCTTTTTTAAAGGTTTACGAAGCCATAATCTGCAATATTTGGCGATGTGAACAGGTGGTGTCCATTCTGCTGAACGAGGGTGTCTAATGCAGCATGGGTCAAATAGAGGACAACCATTGGTATCCAGTAGGATATCGTCCTTATTATTGTCTAAATTAGTAGTGGACATAGGATCAGTGTCCTGAAAGGACTGGTTTTGGGGTAGGAGAAAAGTCTCCGTAACAAATTCAGAAGAGGAAGGGTCGCCTGGGAGATCCTCATCTGGATATGCATTGTATTCGTCTATCACTTGAAGGTGATAGCCAGAGGTTGAACCCTTTAAGGGGTCAGATTCTGAAGTCAAAGTAGGTTTGGCATGAGACAATTTAGCTGACTTTGCTGGGGCTTTGCCTTAGCCAGCAGAAGCACTGTTACCCTTCCAAGGGCGCTTACGTGGGACTTCGTCATGGTCAGAGACCCTGGAATCATCCGAGTCTGACAATTGCGTGATGGTGGCAGTAGTGGCTGTCTGGTCACGAAACGTTGCCAAGGCTTTGGGGATAGAGTCTGCAATTGCAGCTTGAAACCAGGCTTTTAATTCTGCTGACATTGCAGGTTCTGTTTGGTCTGACATGATGACCAGTAAAATAGTAGTGGGTTCACCACAGAATCAGTATACCAACAGGTATATTAAACAACTTTTAAAAAAAAATGTATATTTATTTATTATTTTTATTTTTTTATTTTATATATATATATATATATATACAAACTTGTCACAAACAAACTAAAGCAGGGGCTGTCTTATTGGGGTTCACCCAGACAATATGCAGTCACCTTTAAGGGGATTCAGTGGGGTTCATCCACAATTATGGCAGTGAAACTGTCAATATAATAATGACAGGGGTAACCTGTGCAATCAATAAAAATATAAGGGGTTCACCCTGAGAGATAAGGCACAAGGGGGTCACCCTCAACAAAGAGGCAAGAGAGGGTCATCCTCAATAAATGAGGCAAGAGGGGGTCACCCTCTAATAGGCATAGAGCTGTTTTGTAAGTTTGAGAGCAATCTGAAATAAAACCTCTAATAGGCATAGAGCTGTTTTGTAAGTTTGAGAGCAATCTGAAATAAAACACAAATAGGCTATGATAAGCAAGTGTTCTGTGTAATATTTTAAGAGTAACAACAAAATGTACCAGCAGGGGGCAATGAATACTCACAGTCTAACAGAGCTGCAATCCAGTAGCAGAGAGCAGTTCCTGAAAAGCACGCGAACGGGCAAACTAACCGCCGAACAGAAGATGGCCCCCATTGCAGTGGCGCGTCTGAAGATAATTCCTCCAAGGAAAATTATTATAAAGGTTTTACTTTAGAAATGAATAGTCAGAGATAAATACAGTGGGCTGACCTGAGAAAGGTCTATGTGATAAAGGGCAGAGATAAAATAAACACACACATTACCTCATGTGAGTAAAACAGACAGGGAAAGTTAATTAAAGGAGTCGAAAAATATATGGAAAAACAAGATAAGGCAGGTCAATAATATATATTAGAGAGCTATAATTGGAATAGACTCACCTGGGAGGCAAGCAGCAAAGAAAGAGGATTTGGGAGGAGCTTGACAGACTGTTATGTTCTAATATGTGCCCTGATTGATTTTTTTCTCTATATGTTTAACCAGGGCCGGACTGGCC